TGGATGTCCCAAGGATGTCTGGGTCCAAGACAACACCAAGACAAAACCTGATTACAATTTCCCCAAATTTGTTTGGGGGATGGGAGGGAAGGGGAAAAGTTGAAATGGAGAGGGAGGGGAGGGCCCTCCAAGGGTTGCAAATTTAGGATCTGGAAGAAATCTTAAGAAAGATGGTCATAAAGATGTGGTACACAGATGGGATGAGAAGCCTGTAAATGGGGTCAAAGAAAAGAACCTTTAACATTGGAGTGGGAAGAAATAAACGGCACGAAGATATATTCAATCAACACTTGGGGGAGGATCACAATTCCCACGACCCATTGGGCCTATACATCAAAGGAGAACCAAGTTCTAGGAACTTCTGCCTTAGAGAGGCTTATAGACATTCCAAAGTGCCCCTTATCACCACTCCCCTCCCCAAGGCATTCTCAAGGATACTCCTGAGTTGTTACTGCTCTTAACAACTCTCTTGCCATCTTTATGTTCAAAATAAATCCAGAGAGACTCCACTTACACAGCACTGAAGAGAAAAGCCATAACCTATGGGTTTCATGCTTCATGTGGAAGGTGGTGGAGAAGCTAAAGATCATACACTCTTAACTGTGAAGAAGAATGAGGGCAAGCCATCATCTTTTGGCAGTTGATTTAAGTCCCCACCTTTCTTAGAACACACATTTCAAATAGAGAACCTGAAGGTTCCTATATACTGTATCCTTATTCTACATACATTATCCAAGTTTTCTTTCTTTTAGTCTTTCTGATAAAATGTAAGCTCCTTGAGGGCAAGAACAGTTTCGTTTATTTTTATATCTCTAGTACTTTGGCACATAGTAGGTGCTTAATAAACGCTAACTGATAGTAATACTTGGCAGACCACTGGAAAATACTGGGAAACATTAGTACCCTGCTTTCCCCCAAACTAATCAGTCTAAACCTGATGTCCAAGTAAGGGTGGCCTGTGATTTGGAAGTCTTGGCAAATTAATTTAGTGTCCCTTTCACAAGTCTATGCTAAGGCCTGAAATGCTATCATCATGGTTTGAAATGCAAATACCTTTGGGAAGAATAACACATTTATCAGCTAACATCTGGAGGGGGGAGGAAAGTTGGAGAAAGTGGGAATATCACACCTATAGGAATTGGGCCCATAATGGAGAGAGAAGCAAAGGTCCTTATGGAGGACTCAAAAGACCTACTTCACTCCCCAGCCCTTATTTAGATCCAGATTCTAGCAGAGTTGGGGCTGTTGTTGAGTCATTTTACTCATATCTGACTCTTCATGTCCCCATTTGGGTTGGGTTTTTTTTTTTTTTGTTTTGTTTTGTTTTGTTTTTTGGCAAAGATACTGGAATGGTTTGTCATTTCCTTCTCCAGTTCATTTTACAGATGAGGAAACTGAGGCAAACAAGGTTAAGTGACTTGCCCAGGGTCATGCAGCTAGTAAGTGTCTGAGGCTGGATTTGAAGTCTGGAAGACTCATCTTCCTGATTCCAAGCCCAGTGCTCTCCACTGCACTACCTAGCTGCCCAGAGCTGGGGCTAGGAGGTGAAATAATAATTTTCAGGGAGATAGGAAATCTATCATTTCAGATACAAAGGTTTCAAATAAACTAAAACAAGTAACACATCTCTCTAGGTTCCTTCTCACCAAGGAAGACCAAGTTCTCATGGGGTGTGAGGAAGGGGTAGTGGGGGAGAGAAATGACTGACTCCACATGCCATCATATTTCTGATTCAGAAACCCAGGCTGATTCACTTCCTCTAGGCTGGCCCCAGCAGTGCCCACCTCACATCTAGAGAAGGTTCTTTATTGGGAGAAAAGAAAAACTTTGTCCATAGAACCCTGAAAAATGTTTTCCAATTCCCTATGATAGGAAGCCCTGACTGGCTGGCTGTCCCAACCTACCTATCAGCCATAGGAAACTCAGGTGTACAGAAGTAGAAAAAGAAGACCATTTACAAGGATATGGAAAGGATAAAGCAAAGCTTTGGTGGAAGTGGACAAGTTCCTTCCTTTTGCAGTCAGGCCCAGACAACCAATTCTCTTTTCCTGATAACAGCCCACCCAAACTTAATATCTGAAACAACATTACCTATGGAGAGAATATAGAAAATCATATGTACTTAAGAATGGAAAAATATGGGCTATAAATGCAGGGCTCTCAACTCCGTGTAGCAAGGCATTAGGAGAGTAATGTCTGGACCTAGAGTTAGAAGACCCGAGCTTTGATCAGCTTTGCCATTAATTAGCTATGGCACTTTGCCTCCCTAAATCTCCTTTTTCTTATATGTAAAACGAAGGAGTTGGATTATCATACACTCTAAGGTTCCTTCTAATTCTCACGTACTTTCACACTATGACAGCACAGTAATCCTAGGAACAATTGTCCATGCTTTCCAGTCTATCCCCCAATCATTAACCTTAGACAGCAATCTAATCCCTGAATTTCATCCCCCTTCAAAGGCCACACAAGAATAGAGAATGGTGAGCCCCATACACTGAAAAGATTAAGTGTCCTCACCACCCAGAAGTATATCAGGAGATACAGATACAGATACAGATACACACATACACACACGTGCTCACGCACACACACATACACACATTTTTTAATCTTTCCAACTCAGGCAAATACTGACTTGTTTAAAACAAAAGATAAGTATTTAGGAGTGGTGGTTCCTGACGCACCATAATACCCTAGGAGGAGGCTGGCTACCCAGGGTAGTTTCCGGGCCTTGAAGGGGTAGTGTAGGATATGCCATAGTCCTTTCTCCAAAGGATGCAAAATATATTTCTTGAATTAAGCAATTTAGGAGATTACTGGTGCTGGCTTTGGGGCTCCATGACTACAGATCTTTAATCTGGAAGGGACTTCAAAGAGGTATTTTTTTATTCCTATTTTACAGATGAAACAACTGAGGATCAGAGAGATTAAATGATTGACCCAAGGTCATACAGCCAGTAAGTGAGGGGCAGGATACTAGAATCTAAGGCATCCTCCTTCCAAGGACAGTGATCTTTCCTCCATACCAGGATAGCGGAAGACTGAGGGGCAGCTTGGCGTAGTGGACTGGACTCCTAGCTGGAAAGTCCTGGTTTCAAATTCTGCTTCAGACATTTGCTAATAGCATGATCCTGGCTGGTCATTTAACCTCTTTTGGCCTTAGTTTTTCTTTTGTAAAATTAAGGGTTGGATTTAATGGCCTTTAAGGTACCTTTCAGCTCTAAATTTATGATTCTATGAAACACAACTTGGAAAGACCTCAGAAGTCACTTGGTCCTAACCATATAAAAATGACAAGTCATCCAACCTTTGGTCAAAGTGAAGGGGGAACCCGCTACCACCCACGGCAGCCTGTTTGACTTTCATACAACTCTAATTGTTAGGAAGGTTTTTCTTACATTAAACCTAAATGTGCCTCTCTACAGCTTCCACCTCTTGTCCTCTAGTCCTGCCCTCAAGGCCCAAGCTGGTCAAGTCTAATCACTCTTCCAGGTGACAGCTCTTCACGTATTTGAAGCCAGCTGTCATATCCCTCCCAAACTCTTCTCCAGACTAAATATCCCTAGAGTCTCCCAATCCTCCTATGGCATGGGTCTAAGTCTCTTTGCCATCCTAGTCTCCCATCCCGGATGCTCCCCAGTTTTTTAAATGTCCTTCCTAAAACATAGTGCCCAGAACTGACCATGGTTTTCCAAATGTGGCTTGAGCAGAAGAGATCACACCAGCACCATAACTTCCCAAATCTGGAATAAAGATTCCTCCTGCATAGAAAAGCCATGCCTGGAGGTCTTTCCTGCCTCATCTCTGCCTGCTGGCCTCCCTGGAGTCCTTCCACTCTCAGCTAATGTCCCACCTTCTACAAGAAGTCTTTCCCAGTCCTCCTTAATCTTAGTGCCTTTCCTCTGAGATTCTCCACGACTTATCTTGTAGATAACTTCCTTGTACATAGTTGTTTGCATGTTGTCTTTCTCTAAGACGGTCAACTCCCAGAAAGCATTTCGCCTTTCTTTATATCCTCAGCACTTAGCACAGTGCCTGGCACACGGTAGATGCTTGATAAATGCTTGTTGACTTGGCTTGCCTTTGGATTAGAGGAGTTTCATAAGGATGTTCCCACTTTTCATATTTGTGAGCACCCCTTAGGCAGCAGCCTACAAGTACTAAGTCGCCTTGCCCAGAGGACCTGGCACAATGTGAAATAAGGACATCTGTTTTCCTTCCATCCAAATTCTTTCAAAGGAAGGCACTATAAGGACAGACCCTCTTGAGGGGCTTTCTGAATTAAGATTCTCAGATAGAACCTGACTGAATAGGCACCTCACTTTCTGATACTTAATGGGACATGCTCACATCTGCAGGTTAGGAAGATATTAGATCTCTGAATCTAATAGACCTTTAATCCTATCCCCAGTGTCTCTTCTCTGTGATAAAAGCAACAATGAACTTTATGGATGGGAGAGGTCTGCAAGTGTGGTTGCCTGGTGAAAAAACAACTGATACTGGTCATCATTCTCCACTAGTACAAGAGCCCCAGGCTTAAAACTTGGAGGTAAAACAAATTCAACAAAGGGTTGATTAGTCCTACCTTCTGAACATTGAGCTGTGTCCCTAAGACATGGTAGGTTAAAGAAAAAAGGACTTTGGGACAAATAACAGAATTCTAGAGTTAGAAGGATCTCAGCCAACCATCTAGTCCAATCCACCTGCAAAAAAGAATTGTGAAAAAGTACACTACAGTATACTCATAAAACAATCACATAGCCCCTCCTTGAATACCTTTCAAGGCATCTCATTCTACTTTTATTGTTGCTTAGTTGTTTTTGACTCTTTGGGACCCCATTTGGGGTTTTCTTGGCAAAGATACTGGAGTGGTTTGCCATTTCCTTCTCCAGCTCATTTTACAGATGAGGAAACTGAGGCAAACAGGGTTAAGCCCAGGGTCACACAGCTAGTAAGTGTCTGAGGCCACATTTGAACTCAGGTCTTCCTGTCTCTAGGTCCTTTGCTCTATCCATTGCCCCACCTAGCTGTCACTTTGGGATAGCTCTAATTGTTAGGAATTTTTTCCTGACAAGAATGGCCTAAGGTCTAACCTAAGCTAGTAGAGGAATTACGGAGGTAGGTAGTGCTGTGAGGGAGGAAGAGTGCTGGATTTGTAGTCAGAGGATCTGGATTCAAATCTTAGCTTTGCCACTTACTGCTTACATGACCTTGTGGTACATCTAAACCTCTCTAAGCCTCAGTTTTCTTATCTGTAAAATGAGGGGACTCAGTTAGATGACCTTTTTAGTTCCTTTCGACAATACATCTGGGACATGGCTACAAGATCCACTCTACCCAGAATTCTCCTTATGCCAAATCTGGATGGAATTCAAACTAGGGGGAAAAAATCAGGCTTTCTGAGTCAAAAGGCCGACACTTCAAAAGTGACACCTTTTATTTCTTGCGTTGCTAACAACCTCTCCCCATCTCCATTTCCTTCTCTCTAAGACAAAAATGAGGATGACAGCCATCCTCACTGATTGTTGGTTGGGATGAGTAAAGGATAATTTTTTAGAAATGGCTGAGCACTCTGAAAATATTCAAATGCTTCAGAAGAGCTCATGTCTGGCAATGACTCCCACTGGCTATGTCATGAGCCCCTTTTAATCAGTTTTCTTCTAGACGTCTCAGAAAGGAGTAAGACAAACCAACGCAAAGTCAAGGGGATGAAAGACACATTGTACAAATTTCCTCTCCTCCACACCTCAGCCGGTAATAAAGAAAGCTTCTTTCAGGAGCTGGCATCACTTCTCAGTTGAAAATTAATCTCTTCCTGCCAAGGAACCCAAAGTGCTTGATCAATATTGCCTTGTGAGCTCTCACACCCTATGCTTTGGGAGGAAGGCTGGTGATGTCTTTTCAAAAGGGGCTAAGTGATTCAGCCAAGGTCACAAGGTAAGTAAGCATCAGAATAAGGGAGAAGAGCCTGGAACTTTATCTCCTCCTTCTCCTCTGGGGTCTAAGCTCTAGATAACAGATGCCTTTTATCATTTCTTCTTTGCTTGAATACTCAGATGTGAATATCCCTCCCTTTCCACCAGCAAACACATCCCACTTTCAAGGAAACTGAAAAAAAAAACTTTAAAAAAAATCAGAGCTGTTTCTCATCAGACACTTCAGGGCCTGCAATTGAACCTCACATAAAGGAGGGAGTTGAGAGACGACCTTGGGGGCGAAAAATGCCTACAATTAAAAAAGTATCCTTCAAAGCTATTTGAGTGGAATTACAAGGTAGTATGAAAGGCAACTCAGATGCCCAGCAGCTGGCTAGCCTCTCAAAGAAGTAGATGAGAACTGTCTCTGAGTCAGTGATGTGAGCAGGAACCTTAGGAAATAAATATTTTCTGACACCACATTCCATGTGGTTTAACGCATTGCATAGTGTTAAGGACTAGGGTCCCTAGGCAGCGCTAGGGAAGGTCAACTATTCGCAGTGAAAGTAGTTTGACCCACAGCTTTGAGGTCAGCTCCTGATCAGAACCACAGACAGCATGAAGCTAAATGGGAAATATCAACTAAAAGATCGTTCCCAGCTGGCTTCTGACCGATGTCCCCAGCAAATAGCCTCCCTAGCCCAGGGATGACAGGCCAAGGTGTGAGAATAATAATGACTCCTTCCACTGCCTTGCCATGGGCTGGCATGATGGGAAGACAATGAGGTAGGGCAGAGGTCACCTGCCCCTGGTACAGAAGAGGAGCAGGGAGCTGGGTTCATTGGGCCAGAGGTAAAACGTCATTGTGAGAATTCACTATCTTTACGGGACTAAAGCAGCACTCTCTAGTCTGCACTCTCTGGCCTGACCAAGAAGCTTTCCTCTCTGCTTTTCCCTTGTAGGAGGTTCTGTTTATCTCTCCAGAAAGGAAGGAACCTTATAGAAGACTGAATGCCATCCCAACTCCAGGCTCAGGGATGTCTCAGCAGAGGCCCAGTGTACTATTAAAAGTTACAGATGGATTTCACTCAGTTCATAACATGACGGAGAAACAGATTGGGAGATGGGGAGGAGGTGGTTGAAGAAAGAGATAGAAGAGACCTTAAGTTGAAGTTCATTATTCAAGTAAATAAACAAATTTCATAAATATCAGAACTGCTATCAGTTTTTTTTTTTTCTTCATGTCAGGAAGATTGGGCAGTGCTTGAAAGAGCCTTGCTGCTCCCCCATGGTCCAAAGCCCAGTAGGTCAGGAGGCCACAGTATAGGGAGGAGAGAAGGCGCAGAAAAACTCTGACCAATTTTTACATACATTAGGGCCAACCTATGCCTTTATAGATCCTGTCCTTGAGCTATTATGATGTCCCATTTAGGGGGGTGTTTCACAACCTCATTTTACAGACGTGAACAACTGGAGTGAAGTGACTTGCTGAAGGTTATAAGGGTGGTTGCCTGAACTGAGAAAGTAACTCCAAAATCTCTATTCCCATTACCTAGGCTTCACTGCCGGATGCCACTTCTGCTAAAATTTACGAGAAAACCTCTTAGGGTTTGAGAGATTTTTACTAACCATACATGAAGGCTTGCAGTTACTGGTCCCTGGAGAAGACAGAGTAAAGAATAAGGGAAAGGACATAAGAGAAAATCAAAGGAGTACAATAGGGCCATCCCACGGAGAATACACAGAGCTGCCTGCCTGCTTTCACCAGGTCCTTCAGCACTGAGTCACATACAACCAACCAGAAATAGCAAGGGGCTTTGGCATCCCCAAAGCGTCCAACTCTGTCAATGCTGACCTAGCAAATGTAGTTGGCCAGAAGTAAGTAGTCCAGCTCTGCATATACTCCATGGCAGGCCCCATTACACAAGAAAAGGGCCAGACACAAGACTCTGTCTCTAGCACCTAAGGTGGCACCAACGAAGAATTCTCCCAAGAACCCACCCATGGGCTAGGTAAGGGTTTTTCTAGCAACATGATTTGGCCACACACCAACCATAGGGAGGTCAGTGCCTTTGCTATGTGATACTCCCCACCCTTCACTGAGTCTTGCTAAAAGAAGCCAGAACATAGACTCTTCACTATAACTCAACTATATTTCCCTACCCCTCCTCCATCCCCACCCCCAGTCCCATAGAGGTGGATCAGAGCGCCACCTCTAGGCTCAAATAAATAGATCAGGCAAGTAGAATGGTGGCTGGGGAGGGGGGAATGGAGGTCCATCAAGTCACATGCCTTTATCACCCTGCCCCCAAGCATTCCTGACAGCATGAGACACCACCAACCTTAGGTCTCTTAATGACCTTGAACTGGATTCAAGGACAAGGGTGGGGGTAGAGAGTAGCAGAAGAATATCCAACATTGGTGTTTGTAACCACAGAACTCTGGAATGACCAAGAGACTCTGGGACAGACCCTGGGCATGCCCTACTTAACAGTGCTGGAGGACGGTGGACAAATCTGGCTGTGACTGGGTTGCCATGCCATGGCCCAAGGGTGAGGAATACTGCAGAGCTGGAAGGTCATTCACACACCTCCCCCTCCCCACACGCACACACACACTCAGATCTGACAGGCTACATCAATGGGGGTGGTTCTAAACAGGAGAGCTCACTGTTGGCTAGGGCCTTTGGAGCAGCTGCCCTCCACACCTCTTCTGTCTTCAAAGTGCATTATCAGTGCAAGAAGTAGGACTGGATCTTGGGGTGCCACTTGGTGGGAGACACGCCCTAGCCAGGCCCTCCCAGGTCCTCTCTTCCCTTTTGCCCAGACCTCTACCCCCACCCCAGATTCCTCTCATGCTAAGACCAAAACTCTTGCTGAACCTCGTAGGTAGTGGATCTGTGTGTGTTTAGTTCAGACCTACACAAAGGAACAGTGCTGTCCTGGCTCTGCCCCTCTGCGTCCAGATCCAAAAGGGCCTGTTCAGCAGGAGGAGGGTGCCCTGCCTGAAACGGGAGCAAGGCAGGAAGCCCTGGCCGCTCTTCCACAGTGCTACTGCTGCTTGCAAAGCAGGAGTCTAGGTTGCTGGGTGTCTCTGTGCTCGAGCTGTTGGCGGGGGAGGCGCTGCGGGCGTGGCTGGGGGACACAAACCACCAAGGGTCCAGCCGCTGCCGGTTGGCAGAAGGGCGGGGCCGAGGAAGAAACTCCAGAGTCTTAGGTCTTTCCAGGGTGGAGTCCTGATGGGTGTTCCACCGTCTTGGGGTTGGGGGAAAGACCAGATTGGGGTCTGGCAGGCGAGGCACCTCCCCAGGATCTCGGCTGGGGCTTGGAGTTTTCAGCATCCCTGGACGAGGGGAAGAAAAAACAACAACAACTAATTGAAGGGCATGAGGCCAAGGTACCATGCATTGGGAGTCAACAGTTATAGTGAAGGAGTGTATAAGAGTATAATGGGTCTTAGGGGTGGAGAGTGTCAACCAGAAAAGAGTTGAAAAATGACCCAAAAGTAATTCCAGCCAATGGCATGATTCTCAGCCTTTCTGCCTACTCACTCGCTAACTAGAGTGCTTAGGGTGACCAACAGGAGATTGGAAGGAAAAGTGGTAGGGTGATGTACACTTATCCTTCCACATTGCAGGGTTTAGGGACACAGTGCCCCTGTGATCTGGAAAAACCACATAAAATTTTTTGACCTTCCCTTCACACCAGAGAAGAAGTTTGAATTTTTTTTCTTTTTCTTTTATGGGGTGTTTACAGTACCTTATTGTAAAATTTGGGTATATTTATGGTATTAAAAGATAAAATATATTGATATTGCATAATACTATACATGTATTTTTTGCATTTCTGAGTTTCTAAACTTTTTCTGTGTCATCTGTTGGCCTTCACATATTATCTGTGGCTTCCACAAAACTCCCCAAATATTTCCATTTAATTTCTTATGTCAACCCCCAATATATTGAAACCCTCAATGGGGAAAGTCCCAATGTAGAAGGGTTAAGTGTATAAGAAGAATGTCAGAGTTCAGATACTTAACACATTGGTATGAGTATCAGATGTTAGCAGGTAAATCTCTGTAAAGAGAAGGCTGAGAGGAAGAATAGAGGATAAAAGCTGGTGGTAACCTACTCCTATGTATGCAAAGATATGTCTATATACTTTCAAGCAGATGTCAATGAGGGGTTATAGGGTATGTGTGGGGAGGATATGCATGAATGGGTGTGGTTCTAGCTACTAAAAGGTCATCTGAGTCAACACTATAATGAGATGCAGAAGCCTAGCACATGATAGGAAATATCAGGAAATACAGGAAGTTTTACTTCCTGAAAATTCGAGTATTTGGGTTTTTAAACTCAAACTCCTCAAAACTCTGGCAATAGCCAGAAGCTAGACTTAGATACATTCTGCCCTATACATTATATAAGCTATAATAAAGTCTCCATATGGGTCCTGTGTTTAATTCTTCTTAGGCCCCAGGAAATTTCACTTCAACCCAATACTCAAATTGGGAGACGCTCTTGGGACATAGGGTAGGCACTGCTTAATTGAAGCAAGGACAAATCACTGAATTTCCCTAAGACCTCAGCTCCAGCCCTTCTTCAACAACTGAAGAGAAGCCTGCTTTGGAAAAAGGGAAACTTTGTTCATTCACAGAGTATTCCACAAGAAAGAGGAGAAAGGGAGAGAAGGAATGGGTGGTGGTGGTGGTGAGGCTCACCTGCACCTGGTGTGGCACTCAGCCCATTACTAGATGGGCTCCCATTGGCCAGGGGTGTCACTGGCTTAAGTGCCCCATCAGAAGGAGTTCGTCTGTGACCAGTAGGTTGTGTGGGAGCAGAGAGGGTGACATGGGTGGGAGTCAAGGACTGGTTGGGATCTCGCTTGAAACGTTCAACTTGGACATTGACCAGTGGGTTGTTGGTGCGAGGGGGCAAGGGAGCTGCCTCCACTGGACTGACTGGCATCTCATATACCACAATCTCATCGCTGTCTGATCGAAGGAGGGACCGTGTAGAGTTGCACTCAGAGATGGAGGACAAAGAAAGTAGTGTCAGAGAAGCCGAGGGGTCCCCCAGGAACAGCACTGGCTCCTCCTTCTTGAAGAGCTTGCGGGAAGGGGGGCTGGTACTCCGGCGGGGGCGGCTAGCCCTCTGGAAAAGGCCCTCACGCCTCTTCTTCTCTTCTCGGGGTGGCAGCTCGGGCTCTTCTGGGGGTAGCAGCTGGCACTTTCCTGCCTCCAGCAGGTCAAACCCTAGGCCTGTGGCAGCCAGCACAGCCCCACAACCCAGGAGAGCCACCTCACAGCGGCGATGCTGGGTTCCTCCTCGCTTGAGGCTGTTGGTGGGTGTTAACTGTGGGGTGCTGGTAGCTGAGTTCACTGGGGTGGGCTCCTCATGGGCTCCATCAATGGGTGGGCCATCCACCTCCTCATTTCGTGGGAATGGAATGCAGAGGTAAGACTGGTTGGAAGAATGGATTGCTCGGCTCTCCCCACTCCTCAGGCCTTCGATTTCTTCATCCTCTGTGGGGTGGGGGGTGATGGATGAGAGGCAAAAAACAAGACCAAATTGACTGAACTGGCAGCTTAACTCCCTCCCTCTCTCCTGGCCTAGTTGAGTAACAGTCAGTGATACTCAAAAGAAATCAGGGGGAAAAAACCAGTATAGTCTGGTGGTTGCCATAAAAAAAATAGGTATTAGACCACTAGAGCTTTCTTTCAAATATCTTCCAATGACTGACATGGGGAAATTACTATTCCTCTTAGCACATCATCTTTCCCATCCCCCTAAAAGGGAGACCAGTCAACTTGTTACCTCCTTCCCTAGGGACGTTTTACATGAGCTAGGAAAAAAATAGCAGGTCACAACAGGCCAAGGGACAGACCTGATATCAGAATAATTTGACCCTTTCAAGGTAAAGCTCTGTAAGTATGCTTTACATTCTGTAGAAAACCCCACCCCCCAGCACCCCTGACCTGGCTCTCTTAGGTCAGGGAGCAGAAGGGGGAGAGCACTTAGGCTTGACTTTTGGTTCATCCTTCTGCCTTTGGGTTTTCCATCAATATCATAGTGTTGTCCCTCAGCCCATCAGCAGTGTTTGGCAATAGTGTCTGAATTAGGAGCCAAGGACTGACTGGATGAAGATTCATAGGTCTACAAAAAGCCCAGCAAAGAAGCTATATTATGCCTGAAGGAACTTCTTAAGCAACCCACAAAGGACAGAAAAGGGCATCTAGCACTTTTTCCCCTTTCCATTAGATTATAAACTCCTTAACGGTAGGCACTGCCTTTCTATTTCTTAATACACCCCTAACACTTAGCACAGTGCCTGGCACAAAGTAGGTGCTTAATACATGTTTACTGAATTGAAGCAAATGTGGAATTCGACTCTTTGGCATCCTCCTACCTATGGGAAAGGAATGCTCTTGGGATCTGGGTAGTGGATAGAGTTATAGAGCCAGGAAGACCCAAGTTCAAATCCTGTCTTGAACACTTGCTAGCTATGTGAGCCTGGCCATTTAACCTCTCTAAGCCTCAATTTCTTCATCAAAAAATGGGTGTAATAATAGTACCCATATCCCAGGGGTGTTTCAAGACTCAAATAGATACTGTTTGGAAAGCAATTTGCATACCTTAAAGTAGGATGTAAATGTGATCTATCTGAGGAAAATACTTATTATTTATCACTTATTAATATTGTTTGAACCTAGCCTTATGTGGCTAGAAATTGTTTCACTCAAAAGTTTACTGTAATGGTCAAGCTGACCTCAGAGATTCATCAAGGAAGCTAGATGTCTGCAGGGAATGCTTAGATTCCACTTGGGTCTAGGTTCCACTCAGTGCTTGTGTTTTGGATACCCCAAATCTGAATGTTTATGCTTATATCTCAATCTACCTTAATTTGAATGTTTATGCTTACTGATATCCATCTCAATGGACCTTTGCCTAAGAATAGTCCTCTGAACCCTAGATGATGTAAACCTTGCTGAGACTGGACAAGAGCCATACCTCCTTTCTGGCTCACTCTCCTAAGCCAAATGACCAAATAAATTTCTTTCTAAAACAATTTCAGGTTTGGGGGCTCATTCTTGTGACTTACATCTATCATTATTAATATTGTTATACTAATCCAAGGAGCAGCTAGGTACCACAGTGGATGGAAGAGAGTAAGGAAGACCTGAGTTCAAGTCCAGTCTCAGACACTTGCTAGCTGTGTAACCCTGGGCAAGTCACTTAACCCTGTTTGCCTCAGTTTCCTCATCTGTAAAATGAGGGGGAGAAGGGAATGGCAAAACACTCCAGTATCTCTGAAAACCCCAAATGGGGTCATGAAGAGTAGGACATGACTGAAATGACTGAACAACATATAATACTAATCCAAAGTGATTGTCTTCAAATAGTTCCATCAATTAGGATCAGACATGATCCACCTAGAACAATCCGGAAAGCCTGGAAATGCCCTTTCCCTGCAGGAGCAGGCAAGAGTCATTCCAGGAGGTAAGCAGATACCCTAGTCTATGACTTGATATACTGGGATTCCACTAGCTTGAAGATATTTCCAGAATAATAATAATAATAATAATAATAGCTAGCATTTATATAGTGTTTTAAGGTTTACAAAGCACTTTACATATATTATCTCCCCGATTCCCCATAACAACCCTGGAGATGGGTGCTATCACTATCCCTGTTTTATAAATGAAGAAGCTGAGACAGAGGTTAAGTGACTGCCCAGGGTCAGGTGTCTGAGGTAGGATTCAAACTCAGGTCTTCCTGACTCCATGTATAGCATTCCGTCCACTGCACCATCCAGCTCTCTATGCTGATGCAAAAGCTGAAAAGGTTTTCTCATTTCTCATGCTTGAAACCTTGCTCACACAGCAAAATAGGCCCCAAGAAGCCAGAGATCCTATGTAGTCAGTGGCCAAAGAAGTGCTGTGAAACTACATTGTCCTAAGATGATTAAAATATGTATACATAAAATATGCATTCCTCAAATGCACTCCCAACATAGCTCCTCATCAGAACATCTCTTTCTTCCTTTAAGACCCCACGTAAGCACCACCTTCCATGTGAAGCCTTTGCTGATCCCCTCCCCTCGAGTGCAAATGTGTTCCCTCATAAATTTCCTTGCATTTAACAACTTTGTGTTTATTTGCACTGATTCTCTTTATATTTATTCAGTATATACTTATATACGTCCTTGTCATCCTCATTAGAATGTAAGATCCATTTGAGAAGTGATTATTTGATTGTTTTAATTATATTTATTATATCAACCTATTACAATCATTAGCACATGACATACGGTAGGTGCTTCATAAATGCTTGCTGATTGGTTGTTGATAGAATCAGAGAGTTGAAAAAAAAAACCTGAGACATTATTTGATATTATTCCTTGATTTTATATATGAGGAAACTGAGGCCCAGAAAAGTAAAGGGATTTGCCCATTATCATTACCCCCTATTGCACTGAATAGGTCCTGAAGAGCTAGTCTCAGCTTGAAAGAGTAGGTAGTAGGAACAATATGAAGTAAATTAGGGAAGAGATAATTTGTGGCTTGGGAATTAGATAAAAAGAAAATAATGAAAAGAGGGAAGGAAAGAGTTGGTAAGGAATGAAAAAATGCTTCCATTTAGTGAAATGCTTCCATACAATTTGCCTCATGGCAGTAAAGGGGTCTAGGAAGTATGACCAGATACTTCCTGAGGAATTAAGTAGAAGATAATGCTTTAAGATGCAATGTTTTAAGATTTTTTTTTTTGGCTTTCTCCTCCTGAAAGTCACATGAAGTAGAAATTGCAAGTATCATTAGCCCCATTTTACAGATGAAGAAACTGAGTCTTTGAGAAGTAAAGTAATTTGCTCAGGGTCATTGACTTAGCCATGGTTTGAGACATAATTTGAACCATGACTCCATGTCCAGCACTCTTGGCACATAGTGCCTCTCAAGAATGACCTATTTGCTGCCCTTACCCATCTCGGCAAGGCTGGTAAACCCTGGAAGGGCAGTAGTTGTCCTCAGGCCTTTCCCCAAATTTGGAGCACTGTTTGACCACTGCTTGTATCCATCCACCAGAGATTTCAGGCTGCATAAAGGAAACAAAGGAAAACTATTACAACAGGTCACTACTCCTTCCCTCCCTGGACTCCTCCCAGACTATCCATCTGCCTTCAATCTGACCACATATACTACTCAGTTCTGCTACTTCTGGGGGCCCTAAAGTCCAGGGCTAGAAGGCCAACAAGAACCTGATTATTTGTCAAAGTGAAATGAATCAGATGCTACAGCACAAGAAGAAGCAAAAGAGTTGTTTCACCTGCTCCTGTCATGAGTCATGGAAAGGTCTGAGAGCAGCAGCATCACACTGAGGCAGGGGATGCAGGTGATGCAGGTGAACGACAGTAGCGACAAGAAGACCCAACCTAGGTGTGCTTGCTGCCCCGGAGTATTTATTTTTAGGGCCCATTTTAAGGTGACTATAACCAACCCACAAAGACCAACCCCAACTAATTCATCTCTGCTGAAATGTAAACTATAGGCAAGCCCCATGCAAATAAATATAAGTTCTAGCAGGAAACAGCTCCGCAGAGGTTAGAGCACCCATCCCAGTTCACTCCAGTTGGCATCTTATTTTTCAACCAAGTTCATGGCATGCTTAGATAGCTTTCAAAGCAATCAGCTTAAAAAAAAAATCAGCAAACCCAAAAAGGGTACTCTGAGCTGTATCATCACCTCAGTGCACTTTGGGACATATGCACAGGTCAGAAATGACACTGTTCTCTTTTTAACCAGTTCTCCCAGAACCCTTCCTCCAAGACATTTCAAAGTCATTAATTCGTGCTGACGTACTAGTGACACTCCCAGGAAATAGGTTAGATGCCCAACAGGGCTCCTCTCATTCAAGAGAGGGGGAAATCAGAGGCCTGGCTTCAATTCGAGGCAGTCCATTAGACTACATGGTTTAGGGTTTTTTTTTTGTTTGTTTGTTTTTGCCCTTTAGGAGAAAGATGGTAGAACTTATCTAATACAACTGTGGTTGTGGAGATATCAGTAAGACTACAGCCTCAGGCAAACGGAAGAGCACTCCCACCATTCCTGCTCCACTCTAGAATTCCAGCCCAGTAAGAAGAGTGGAGAAGCTGCTTTATCTTCTCCTGGATACACCCTAGAATCCTGTCCTAAGTGGGGCCTCCATTGGGATTCTGACCAGCTGAAAATATTCAAGTTATCACTTGTTATAATGAAAAAATAGTGCCAGGAGTAAACATGGCTGAACATGAACTAAGTGCCTGATAACACTGTCTGGAATCTCCCATGGCTGTACAGGGAATGATATCATGACCTGCACAAAATACTAGGGGATAGACAACCATGTATCATTTCTCAAGGTAAAGGAATAGCTGGGGAAAGGAAGAAAAAAGACTGAAGAAAGCAAGGCCAAATCCAGATTAGTCTGGTGATTTACTCGATTTTCCCAAGGTGCACTGTAGCACTACTTTAAACAAATAAACAAACAAACAAAACATAAACTAAAAAGTAAAAGCACTCCTGAGATGACTGAAGCTCTAATCCCTTAAGAACTGCTACAGAAAATAAGAAGGATGTGGATGATGGGAGTAGATACCAATGCAAAGGCATAGAAAGGGTGGAGCACAAACTCACCCCAAGTGAAAATGTGGAGACTCTGAGAGGGCACACAAACCATTAGTTCTCTCTCGCTTCTGAGGAGATCTTTAATGGATAAAGAGAATCAGCAACAACCATGTAGGGTACACCGCATCAGTCACCCTCCCCCACATCCCACCTGATGTTGTACCATGGCGCTTGTGACTATTCTGAACTACACTCTCATCATTCAAGGGGAAAAAAAATAAAACAACTCATCCTTACTGGCCACACAAGCCAAGAGGAGTTTTCCTGGGTCAGAATGTAGGCCTAGTTTTTAAAAATATGATGTGGTATACAGAAGAATGTCCAGCACATGGCAACTGTTATTCAGGGCTCCAACTTGGGCATCAGAGGGCAGGAAGGAAGGAAGGAAGGAAGGAAGGAAGGAAGGAAGGAAGGAAGGAAGGAAGGA